GTGGAAACCACTGTTATACATCATCAGCTCAGCTGAAGACATATTGTGCTACTGTATGCTTAGAGACATTGTATGTTTGAAGAATTGTCTACTCCACATTTATTGAAGTTACAGAAGTAGAGTTCAGTGTGTGATCAGTGTGCCTGATTTAGCTGCACCTCTTACTCTGCCACTTTGGAGATATTTTCTGACAGTCTTTAGGAGTTAGAGCAATGAACACAAATGTTCAGACAAAGGAGTTCTGTGTCCTGTTTTTTCTCTTCTTTTCTGGGTAGCATTTCCTGTGGATTTCAAGCCAGGAGGAAATGGACAGCTGGTCACGGGTACCCTTTTTCTATCATGTTGCACAGGAACATTAAGAAAAACAGGGTCCCAACATACATAGCTTCAACTTTGTGAAAGATACTAAGTTTGTGCATAGGGAAAGCATGTCACCAATATCAGGTTGGCATGTCATTAAAAAGGAAAACTGTGTTTCAGTGCTGGAATCAAACTGTTTAGTATTTTTAATTGATAATTAAATAATTAATCTGAGTATTATGACCAAAATACATCTCTGCCTTTTGGACAGCACTCATTTCTGGTACAGTATGCTTTCTAAATATATTTTTGAAATAAAAATGCAATGTAAAATTTATTAGGAATTACAGTTTCACTGTACCATACACTGCAGTTTCTATGCTGGAATGGTGGTAGTTGATACACTTAGGTGTTTTTGAAAGATATTTATCAAGTCAGCTGTGGACTCCTAGTGCACAACTATTGTGTTTGTTTTTCTTCTTATCCAAAATCAATTTTAATGGCTTTTCTATTTCTTATCTCATTAAAATATTCATTTGAAGTTTATATTGAATGAAGGCTCAGGGGAGATCTAATCAATATGTCTATAAACATCTGAATGGAGAGTATAAAGCAGAGAGAGCCAGGCTCTTCTCAGTGCTGTTGAGTGACAGGACAAGGAGCAGTGGGCACAAACTGAAACACAGGAGGTTCCCCCTGAATGTCAGGAAACACTTCTTTGCTGTCAGGGTGACTGAGCACTGGCACGGGTTGCACAGGGATGTTCTGCAGTCTCCATCCTCAGAGATGTTCAGAAGCTGTCTGGACATGTTCCTGGGCAGCCTGCTCAAGGCTGACCCTGCTTGAGCAGCGAGATTGAATCAGATGACCTCCAGAGGTGCCTTCCAACCTCAGCCGTGCTGCAATTGTGTAATTATGTGACATACCATATACAGGCCTTGGGCATAACTGTGGCACAACCCTACTCAACTATTATAGGAGGACACCAACCATTTTACTCACAGTACCGTGACCAGAGTCAATATTTTTTATGAATTCAGGTTCAGAAAACTTTGGCAGCTTGTATGGAGACTTAGTAATTTTAGTTATACTGGACATTCACATGTTTATTTTTGTAGGTATTTTACTAAGTACTCTGCTGAGTTCTGCAGATCTTTATACTGTAACGAAGAAAAATGAGACATGCAGTTTACACTGAATGAAAATGCTAATATGATCAAAACATTTCCCCTGTCTAGATTCTACCTGTACTTACTGTTTTTGCATTGTTAAAGTGACTAAAATAATTCTAGTGTTAACACTGTGTATCTAGTGCTGTATTCTCACAGGAAGATAATAATTCACATAATTATAGGGAAGTTGTGAACCTGAATTATCATGCATTGTTGCTAGAGTATAACAACATTGCATGTATATTATTTAATCTTTTTTTAACAAGCCACTTATGTAGTGGCTTTCAGTTAGTAAAATTAACAGCTGCTTTTAGTTCAACAAATCTCAGTGAGACATTTCCCTTTTCTACCTTGCAAGTATTTTTATAGATGAAGACTGCCATCTACTGTTTTTAGATTCCAATTTTCATTAATTATTTTTAAATTGGCAAATATTAATATAAGTACTGGTAGTTCTTCCTCAAACTAATGTCATTTTCAGAATCATAAAATCAATTAGTACCTGCTTTAATTTTTCCTTGTTCTTTCTCAAATTATAAACTGTGATGGTTTCACTGGGCTAAGCCAACACAGATGCTCACCCACTTCCCCCCACCCCCAGGGGATAGGGGAGAGGATTGGGGGCAAGGGTAAGGAGACTCGTAGGTTGAGATAAGAAACCCAGCTCTGTCCCCTTGTGCAACATGTGTCTCAAGTTTCCCAAATCTGATACTGAGGAACATAAAACTAGGAAAATGTATTTTAATGTTATCTTATTGAATAAGGGTTAGCATAGAAGCCTTTCTAGCTCTGAAATAATGTTAGAAGACCTTGAGCTAAAGGGTTACACAAAACATTTTTTTTAAAGTAATTGAGTGAAATGCACTAGATATTCTTTTAAAATGCATTTAAAATATTCCAAATGCTTATTTTTATTAATTAGGCAGCAACGCTTGCAAGAATGGAAATGTCTTCAGAGGATGCAAAAGTATGGGGAGCTAAGAGAAATTTGTGGAGAGCAGTATGTAAAGGAAGTTACAAATGCTCCAGAGGACATTTGGGTTGTAATTCATCTTTATCGGTCAAGGTAATTACTTTCTCGGTTAAGATGTTGAATGCTTCAGTACAGAGAATTGAACTGGTAACTAAAAAGCAATACCAAGAAAACCGAAATACAACAGGCTAATGAAACAGCAATTGTTTGGAGGCAATGGAAGCACAGAGCATGGGACCTCCTTGATTCGTTAATTCACTTTGTGAGAGTTAATCACTTTTATTCAGTTATACACAAGATTTATTTTGATATGTATGCTTATCACCATGCACCAAACCCCTGAGTTTTCTGAATTTCACAGAGAAAGCGGGGTCCACCGTCTGTGCTGAGGGAAGTTCCTTTGCAGACTTCTCAGGAGGAGTGCTCTAACAGAATTATTCCACCTTTATTTCGCCTTTGACTTGAACAAATCAAAAGCCCAAAAGGAAAAGTCTCAGTTATGAAAATTGAGGAAAGCTAGGGAATTTGTTAGTTTATTGGTTCTCCGACAAATTCTCTGATGGTAGCAGAAGTTGTGACAGGATCCAGCAGAAATGTCAAAGGACTCCCATGATTAGTTCAGGATATGTTAGCAACACTATTAGATGTTTTTGAAAAGCACTGAGAATTAGTATGGCATGTCTAATGCATTTTTTTAGATTTAGACCAGCTTTCTCTGTTCCTTCTTTTGAGGAAGCTTCTTTGATTCTTCTCAATTGTCAGGAATTGAGTCTTATTCCAGGAGCAAGGCGATGAGGCCAATCAAGTGAAATTGTTCAAATTACAATAATTTAACTTCAGAGATCCGAAGAAAGAAAATAGCAGCTTTTCATCCTGGAGAACCAATTCTGTACTTTTTCATTGCATAAATACGAGTCTGTGAGGAAACTCAAAATTCCTTAGGAATGAATATGAGATCTCCCAAGTCTCTCATGACCAGTAACAAAACTCACCTGCCTCTGGCCATGAGAGAGTGCTGCAGTCAAAACCAGCTTCCTCAACTGCAGTCAATTACAACTTCTATAAGGTTAACAGGCTGGAGGGGAACAAGAAACCCACATTGGTTTTTGTGTGTGTGTTTTTGTTGTTGGTTTGTTTTGGGTTTTTTGAAATGAGGTTTATATACTGATTGTTTTGCAAATAGTAGTTACAAAAGCAATAAACACGCCGATGGTGGTAATATGACTAAACAAAGGCTTCCCTGACATTACTCATATTCTACTAGAAAAATGAAGTAGTAATTAAATGTTAAGCTGAAAGTCAGTTCAAATAAATTCCAGTAAAATGTACATTACAGATTTTAAAATCTCATTTAAACAGTACGATAAATGGACAAAATGAGCTTTAAAATCTTAGTGGAGAACAAAGTCGAGGCACAATGCTTGGAACAACTGGTAGCTTTACTGACATTTTAGAGACTGTGCCTATTACATATTTTTACTTGGACAGTGATCTTAGAAGCTAAATAAAATTCGTGGTGCAATTTTTATAGCAAGTTAAAGGAGAAGCAGACTATAGGAAAAGGTACATTTATTCTTCAAAGCCTTTATTTTTAGTAGGTTCAGTCATTTCACAAATCGTTTACACTGGAAGTGTCATTGGACTTTCTCATTCTTTTCTAGCATCCCAATGTGTTTACTGCTGAATGAACATCTCGGCCTGCTAGCTAGAAAGTTTCCAGAAGTCAAGTTTCTCAAAGCCGTTGCAAACAGCTGCATTGAAAATTACCATGACAGATGTTTACCCACAATACTTGTATATAAGTCTGGTGAAATAAAAGGCAGGTTCATTGGAGTAGCTGAATGTGGAGGAATGTATCTTAAAGTGGAAGGTATGGGAAGTATTTCTAAATCATATTATAGAAAATTTTATGTTGTTATAGTCATTAGATCTGAAGATCACTGCTCAAAAGTGCAAAAGGTTTTTAATTATTCTTGTAGAAAAAAAGTCTATAAAAAGCAAATAATTAGTTTATGGAATTTTGTGGTGAGAATACTGGATAAGCACAGATATTTTGCAATTTCACGGTAAGATATTTTACCAAGATAAAATTGGGTTGTTGCAAGAATATCTATTTTTTGTTGTTGAGATGGAGCTTGGTCTTTAATAGTCCTTTTCCTCTTGAGTAAAAATTTATTGCACTTATCAGAATAAATTTTAATTTGTTTTTACAGAGCTGGAATGGAAACTAGCAGAAGTTGGAGCAATAGCAACCAACTTAGAAGAAAACCCCAAAAAGGACATTCCAAATATGATGACGCTGTTAGTGCATGATGTTTCTGCTCATAAAGACACCAATACAAAAAGCAATGATGTGATGAAACCACGTATTACTTGAGAAAATATTAATGCAGGTCATCTGTTCTGACATAAACTAGCTCAAATCCAGGTTTATTACTCTTTGGTAAGCCTGAAACAATAAAGAGGAGCTTTTGTTCCACTTGCATATTTTTTGATTTTGATTTGCAGTAGGTTGATGTAGTAAAGGAAAACCGTACTTCCCTTTAGCTACATATAGAAGGCACCAAGAGCCTGGATTCCCCCTTTCACATAAACTTTTCTTAAATGGAACGGGGAGGGGAAGGTATTAGCTGGTGGCCTCTAATCCACAGTTTCTTCCTCCTTTTATCCAGCATGGGTACAAGATACTCCCTTTAATTCTCAATGAAGTGACTGTAGTGGAACTCTGCTTTGCTAAATGCCTTCTCAGCTCCCCTGACAGAAAAGACAATGATGTGTACAGTGATACAAAGCCAGGATTTGGCCCTAGATCTATTGACTAATAGTTCCATTTATTCGACGGGTGTTCAATAATTTTCTCCAGAGTCAAGGATAATCTTCCTGCTATTTTAGCATACTGACAGTTGATCAGTTGTTCCATCCTGATAAAAACACGTATATCCTTAACAAAATAGCTTAGAGTAAACTGTAGGTGAGGAAAAATTACACGAGTGAACAAAGAGACCACGCTCCCAATTCAGTATTTTTATTTATTATGACTAGTGAATCAAATTGTATAGTATTGTTATTTTTCCAGTGACTCATCATAAAAAAACAATCTCAATGTGCTAATGAAGATTTAGTTATATACAGGTGACATGCTTTATAGCATCAGGAGGCAGAAAGAAAAATGAAACAGAAACAGTTCACCTAACACTTGGCACATAGATGCTTAAGAAGAACAAGAACATTAACATTAGTAATTTTTTTTTCCACCTGGTAGGACACAGCTGTGCTATTAGTAGATACCTACTGGTAGATACCACTTCTAGAAACTTTTATTTTGCACATTCAAAGAGATAGCTAGTAGATGCATTTCAGAGATACTGGCTTCTCTGCCATTTCAAACAAGAAGGCTGACTAGTAGTTTTAAACGTAAATAGGTCATCAGTGACTTCAGATGCGATTCCACAGTCGCGTCAATACCAGTGCTGGCTGCTATAAAAGTACTGTCACCCGCTTCCTCTTAGCAGTGAGCTTCTCTCCTGCTCCCGGGGCTGCCATGAGGCACACAAGCACAGTACACAACAGCACAAGCGCCAGTGTTGTCACGTGGGAAGCAGTAGGAATATTGGCCTTCCCTCTGGTGGCCCTTACTTTGTCCAAGTGACCATGCGATCATGTTTACAGCCATCAGATGTGACCAAGCAGCAGCAAAATCCAAGGGAATCTGCAGGTAAAAAGCAGATCTCTCTGGTTTTTAACCAGTTACACCATTTGTAGGAAAACAGTCTAGGAATGAATGTTAGCAAACCTTGCTTTACAAGGACTAGATAGATTGCCAGGCTTTCAAGTCAGCATCTTTAGTAATCCACCGATTTTAGCATTCTGGAGTGATGTGAAATTCAGTTTCAAAAGCAACTGCCTCAAATAGATCCTCTTTCCAGTATGCCAGTGAGGATCAAAAAGGAACATTCTGAGCAGATAATTGTTCTGTGGCTCTGAAGTGCAGCATGGACAAGATGGTGTGGTGGTTTGGGTGGATTCACCCTTTTGCTTGCAGCCAAACACAGCCTGCTCTATCACC